CGATTAATCGTTTGACAGCACTAATAAATATATACATTAAAAAGATTTACCAAGAGAGAAGAGGCAATAGAGAAGGAGCGAGGCTGAATTTCTGGAAAAAGATCCAACAAGCAGTCAACGCTCAACTCGGCAGTGGTATGAGGGAAGTCTGCCAGTACCTGAGTTAACATTAGAAAGGGATTACACCGCTTTTTTTACACATATAATAACCTTAAACATTTTGTAGGAACACAGCTCTTTCATACTCCAGATGACAACAGAAGTTAGTGTATGAGTCTACAGACATCCAAAAACAAAAAAGAAGTTGTATTTAACATCAACATTCAAGTGATCTCTGACCTCCAGGGCTGTTCGACGGGGTCGGCTGCAGTAGGAGTGAAGAGCGTCCTGACCCTGAGCGGAACTGAACTCCAAAAGTTTATCCAGCTCCAGCTCATTAGTGGCAAAAGTGGCCAACACCTCAAAGAAGGAACGGCGTGGAACAGCAGAAATGTCCAGGAACTGTTCCACCAGAAAGCGAACGGAGCAGGGCTGAGGAAGATGCGCAGGGACTGCTGCTACAGGAAGGAGAGCAACACAGAGTTTAAAAGGGTAAGACTTTCTTTCTTGCATGGAACACAAAAGGAGATGTTCTGAGGAATTTTGACATGTGGGTTTGGAACAACATGACAAGTCTCACCTGTGCTGCTGTCAGTGGGAGTCAGTGTGAAGTATCTTTCCGGGCCAAGTTTCAGTAGTTGACAGAACTGCTCCACATCCTCTGCAGCATTACAGGGTCTCATCATTACAACATCTCCTGCACTGTACCTGTCAGAGATAGACAAAACCTTTTCATACCATTTTGTGATGACATTTAATCTGTATGATTTGATTTGAAATATCTCATATATGCTCACTGTATGTTGGAGCCGGTGATATCGAACTCGATATGCCTGACATCCTGGAAGTGTGAAGGAGGAGTCACTCTCTGATTGAACACAACTCCAGCTGGAAAAGGCTGCAGTGGGGTGGGAGGGGCCTTATTATCAGGGGTCTGGAGATGCTCAGTCTGCTTGTCTGGGACTTCATCTAGGAAGTGGAAAACATATAGGGGTGGAAGTCTGAAAAAGATAGATTATGCATAAATATATGAATTATCTATTTGAATTCATTCATTTAATAAAACATTATTTTTAGATTAGTTGACAGACTTACTTTTCTTCATCACGGAGTGGAGCGAGG